ATTATTCCTTCGTCCTTCGTACTTTTCTTCCTTCGTCCTTCGTACTTTTCTTCCTTCGTCCATCGTCCTTTTCGTCCTTCCTTTTTTCGTCCTTCATCCTTCTCGTCCGTCGCCCTTCCTTCGTCCTTCGTCCCTTTCGTCGTTTTCGTCCTTCGCCCTTTTCGTCCTTCCATTGTCCTTTTCGTCCTATTTGTCCTTCTTCCTTCGTCCTTTTCGTCTTTCGTCCCTTTCGTCCTTCTTCCTTCGTCCTTTTTTTCCTTCTTCCGTCGTCCTTCGTCCTTTTCGCTCTTCCTTGTCCTTTTCTTCCTTCGTCCTTCATACTTTTCTTCCTTCGTCCTTCGTACTTTTCTTCCTTCGTCCTTCGTACTTTTCTTCCTTCGTCCTTTTCGTCCTTCTCTCTTTTCGTCCATCGTCCTTTACGTCCTTCGCCTCTCGTCTTTTTCGTCCATCGTCCTCCGTTCTTTTCGTCCTTCGTCTTTTTCGTCCTTCGTCCCTTTCGTCCTTGGCCCTTTTCGTCCTTCAGTCGTCCTTTTCGTCCTTCTTTCTTCATCCTTTTCGTCCTTCTTTCTTCGTCCTTTTCGTCCTTCATCTTTTTCGTCCGTTCTTCGTCCTTTTTCCTTTGTACTTTTCGTCCTTCCTCCTTTTTCCTTTGTACTTTTCGTCCTTCGTCCTTTTTCCTTTGTACTTTTCGTCCTTCGTCCTTTTTCCTTTGTACTTTTCGTCCTTCGTCCTTTTCCTCCTTCGTTCTTTTCGTCCACGTGTCCTTTTTGTGCTTCGTTCTTCCTTCGTCCTTTTGTTCTGTGTCCTTCGTCCTTTCCGTCCTCCGTCTTTTTCGTCCTTCATCATTTTCGTGCTTCGTCCTTTTCGTCCTCCGTCCTTTTCGTCCTCCGTCCTTTTCGTCCTTCCTTCGTCCTTTCTCCTTTTTGTCCTTTTCGTTCACTTTTTTCGACCACATTCGAAAATTTCCTAAAGAGATTTTTTTTTTAAATTTCGAATTCTAGAATTTATTTTTTAAATTTCGAATTCTAGAATTTATTGTCAACTTCCACTTTTCGAAAACTATTGCAGTTAATTATTCCTGAATTGCTCAATAAAATTGGCAATTTTCAGGATTTTGAAAACAATTGATTTTCGAACTGAATATTTCAAAAATTTTGCTCTGGGACCATAAATACTTAAATCAAGACATGGACATCTATATCCCAGATTTTTTGGTAAAATTTTTAACAACTTTCTCAAAAACCCCACTTTTTAATACCACGTCCTTCGTCCTTTTCGTCCTTAGTCCTATTTGTCCTTCCTTCGTCCTTTTCGTTCTTCGTCCTTTTCGTTCTTCGTCCTTTGTCCTTCGTCCTTTGTCCTTCGTCCTTTTCGTCCTCCGTCTTTTTTATCCTTCATCCTTTTCGTGCTTCGTCCTTTTCGTCCTTCGTCCTTTTCGTGCTTCGTCCTTTTCCTCCTTCGTCCTTTTGGTCCTTCCTCCGTCGTTTGTCCTTTTCGTCCACTTTTTTCGACTACATTCGAAAATTTCCTAGAGATTTTTTTTGAAATTTCGAATTCTAGCGTTTATTTTCAACTTCCACTTTTCGAAAACTATTGCAGCTAATTATTCCTGAATTGCCCAATAAAATTGACAATTTTTAGGATTCTGAAAAAAATTGATTTTCCAACTGAATATTCCTAAAATTTTGCACTGGGACCATAAATACTTAAATCAAGATGTTGACATCTATATCCCTGATTTTTTGGTGAAATTTTAAACAACTTTCTCAAAAACTCCACTTTTTAATACCACGTCCTTCGTCCTTGGTCCTTTTCGTCCTTCCTTCGTCCTTTTCGTCCTTCGTCCCTTTCGTCCTTCGTCCTTTTGTCCTTCTTCCTTCGTCCTTTTCGTTGTTCTTCCGTCGTCCTTCGTCCTTTTCGTTCTTCTTTGTCCTTTTCTTCCTTCGTATTTTTCTTCCTTCGTCCTTTTTGTCCTTCTCCCTTTTCGTCCATCGCCCTTTTCGTCTTTCGTCCTTCGTCCTTTACGTCCTTCTTCCTTCGCCCCTCGTTTTTTTCGTCCATCGTCCTTTTCGTCCTTCCATCGTCCTTTTCGTCCTTCCATCGTCCTTTTCGTCCTTCGTCCCTTTGGTCCTTCTTTCTTTGTCCTTTCGTCCTTCGTCTTTTTCGTCTGTCCGTCCTTTTTCCTTCGTACTTTTCGTCCTTCGTCCTTTTCCCCCTTCGTCCTTTTCGTCCTTCGTTCTTCTTTCGTCCTTTTCGTCCTTTGTACTTCGTCCTTTTCGTCTTTTATCCTTTTCGTCCTCCGTTTTTTTCGTCCTCCGTTTTTTTCGTCCTTTATCCTATTCGTGCTTCGTCCTTTTCGTCCTTCGTCCTTTGCGTCCTTCCTTCGTCCTTTGTCCATTTCGTCCTTCGTCCTTTTCGTCCACTTTTTTTGACCACATTCGAAAATTTCCTAAAGAGATTTTTTTTTGAAAATTTCGATTCTAGAATTTATTTTCAACTTCCACTTTTCGAAAACTATTGCAGTTAATTATTCTTGAATTGCTCAATAAAATTGACAATTCTTAGGATTTTGAAAAAAATTGATTTTCCAACTGAATATTTCTAAAATTTTGCTCTGGGACCATAAATACTCAAATCAAGACGTTGACATCTATATATCCCAGATTTTTTGGTGAAATTTTAAACAACTTTCTCAAAAACTCCACTTTTTAATACCACGTCCTTCGTCTTTTTCGTCCTTTTCTTCTTTCGAACCTTTCGTCCCTCTTTCTTCGACCTTTTCGTTCTCCCTTGTCCTCTTTTTCCTTCGTCCTTCGAACTTTTCTTCCTTCGTCCTTTTCGTGCTTTATCCTTTTCGTCCTTCGTCCTTTTCGTCCTTTTCGTCTTTCTTCCTTCGCCCCTTGTCTTTTTCGTCCTTCGTTCTTTTCGTCCTTCCTTCGTCCTTTCCTTACTTCGTCCTTTTCGTCTTTCGTCCTTTGTCCTTCGTTCTTTTCGTAATTCGTCTTTTTCGTCCTTCGCCCTTCCTTCGTCCTTTTCGTTCTTCGTCCTCTTTCCTCCGTACTTTTCGTCCACGTGTTCTTTTCGTCCTTCATCCTTTTCCTCCTTCGTCCTTTTCGTCCTTCTTCCTTCGTCCTTTTCGTCCTTCTTCCTTCGTCCTTCGTCCTTTTCGTTCTTCCTTCGTACTTCGTTCTTTTCGTCTTTCCTTCGTCCTTTTCTTCCTCCGTCTTTTTCGTTCTTCATCCTTTTCGTGCTTCGTCCTATTTGTCCTTCTTCCTTCGTCCTTTTCGCCCTTTTTCCTTCGTCCTTTTCGTCCTTCCTTCGTTCTTTTCGTCCTTCGTCCCTTTAGTCCTTTCTTCGTCATTTTCGTCCTTCCATCGTCCTTTTCGTCCTTCGTCTTTTTCGTCCTTCGTCCTTTTCGTCCTTTGTCCTTTTTCCTAAGTACTTCTCGTCCTTCGTCCTTTTCGTCCTTCTTCCTTCGTCCTTTTCGTTCGTCCTTCGTTATTTTCGTCATTCCTTCGTCCTTTGCTTCCTTCATCCTTTTCTTCCTTCGTCCTTTTCGTCCTTCGTCCTTTGTCCTTCGTCCTTTTCGTCCTTTGTCCTTCGTCCTTTTCGTCCTTCGTCCTTTGTCCTTCGTCCTTTTCGTCCTCCGTGTTTTTCGTCCTTCCTCCTTTTCGTGCTTCGTCCTTTTCGTCCTTCATCCTTTTCGTGCTTCGTCCTTTTCGACCACATTCGAAAATTATCTAAAGAGATTTTTTTGAAAATTTCGAATTCTAGGATTTATTTTCAGCTTCCACTTTTCGAAAACTCTGACAGTAATTATTCCAGAATTGCTCAATGAAATTGGCAATTTTTAGAATTTTGAAAAAAATTGATTGTCGAACTGAATAATGAATTTTGCTCTGGGACCATAAATACGGTATTATTAGTTTTCAAATCAAAAAATCGACATCTACATATATCCCGGTTTTTTTGTGAATTTTTGAACAACTTTTTCAAAAACCCTACTTTTTAATATCACTTCCTGTTCCTGATGAAAATTTTGACTTTTTCTACCACATTCGAACATTACATAAAGAGATTTTTTTTGAAAATTTCGAATTCTGTAATTTATTTTCAGTTTCCACTTTTGGAAAACTCTTACAGTTATTATTCCAGAAACGCTTAATGAAATTGTCAATTTTTATGATTTAAAAAAAAATTGATTTTAGAACTGAATATTTTTAAAATTTTGCTCTGGGACCATAAGTACACTATTAGTTTCCAAATCAACATCTACATCCCAGATTTTTTTGTGAAGTTCTAAACAATTTTTTCAAAAACTCCACTTTTTAACACTTCATTCGGATGAAAATCGCGATATTTTTTTTCGACTATATTCGAAAATTACCTAAAGAAATTTTTGTTCTTTTCTGTTAAATATTACTTTTTATATAAAATTTTCAGATTTATTTATTATTATAGATGAGTGAGGAGGAAGATTTTTTCTCTCAGTTCCCTAGTATTACGGGTAGATCTTAGACGGGAAGTAATATTTTTTATTAATAGATCAACCTGATCCAGTGAGCAATCGAAAAAACTGACGAATACTGATAATTTGAAAATGACACAAGACGAAATCTCTGAATGATGAAACATGTTATTTAATTGTTATTCAACTTTCATTTTCTTCTTCATAAACACTTCAAGCACGAGGCATGTTGCTGAGAGGCCATTTTTCCCACTTACGGCCGTTTCAGCCGACAGATGTTTTGTTTCCAGTTTCGCTCTTTCTTGCTTTTCTGTTCGTTCAGTAATTTCAAATTTACCGACTCTCCAATAAAACAATAGTGTAGATACAAAAATAGCGTTCTCAGAATCCAGAAACGCCTCTAAGCTCTTCCTTTTTTAAATAAAACCAAAAACCCCACAAAGCGTCGACACAAAGTCGCTCCCTCCAACTTTTTACCCTCAGCTTAAATCCCCAGTCCACCGAGCAAACTCACATAAGCCCCTTTTTGCAGCACTCCCTCCTACGACTACGCCCCCAACCCCGACAAGCAGTGGATCCTGCAGGTCACCCAGAAGATGCAACCCATCCACAAGCAATTCACCGACCTGCTCATGACCAAGCGCCTGCAGACCCTGCAGTCCGTCGACGCCGCCGTCAAGCTCGTCGTCGACGAGCTCAAGGCCCTGGGGGAGCTGGAAAACACCTACATCATCTACACGTCTGACCACGGCTACCACCTGGGCCAGTTCGGTCTGATCAAGGTGAGTGGTTTGCCGAAAGAGCCGACTTCGTGATGAATTCCAAGCAGGAATTTGTGATGAAGTTGGACGTAGAACGTTGCTTTTGCGGATGCATCGCGAGTGGCATGAATAAAAGTTTGATGCACTTTTGAAATATGAGCTCCTTTGGGTCTATTTCTATTATAAAACGCGGTTATTTCGGGAGAGGTGCTCGCGAAAGCGGCTTAGGGGAAGTCGGAACTGGTTTAAGAGGAAAATTGAGAGATGGTTAAGGCGAAATTACACAGTTGGAGGTTCGTCTAGCCTTAGGACTTTTACTGTCGGTAATAATTAAAGAACGAACTGTGAGCTGTGTCGGGTGATGAAAAATAAGATTCTGTATAAGGAAGTAGTAGGTATGTCGAGGATCTAATTATAAAGTGATTCATATGGAGATTAGATCATCGCTCGTCAAGAGTTTTACATTTAGCATATTCGGATGAAAATATTTCGATGTGATGATTGAAAGATGATGAGTTTATTACGTTGTTATATAAGGCTGGCCGCAGACAGTTCAATGTTCAATTTAAAGTCGTACTTTAATTGTTAATTTAAACTCAAGTTATTTGTTTGTTGATTGCTGTTGTAGTGTGAATTAGAGCGTAAATGCATAATGACGAGGTGCACCATCTTGTTGAAACAATTTTTTTTTTATGTTTCTTGGATTTTACGTTTTAGTCAGGTGTCTAGACAATATTATATCATTTGTTTATTCTAGGTATTGAACTTTCTCTTTTCGTGTGGCTATTCTCTGTTTTTCGTTTCGTGGTTTTATCAAGTACAATTTTAGTCATGGACAACATAAATAGGACGTGACTCAAGAGATTTTTTGCACTGCATTCATTGCCCAGTTCTAACACATGTAAAATTTTAATATTTTTTCAAGTAATTCCCACAAATGGTTTAATTATGGCAAAACAATAACCAAAATCTGCTTATTTATACCCCTCAAAAAATTTAGTGACGTCATCGCAAACATGTATTAAATAAGTGTTTCATAAAATGTACTTTACTTTTCAAAATCATTTTTGTTGCACGGGATGGAAAAATCGAAAAATTAAAAATTCGTGAAGTCTAAAATTCGAAAAATCATAATATAAAAAAATTCAAAATTGCAAAAATTGAAGAAAGAAAAATAAAAATTTTTCGGAAAATCGAGAATCGAAAAATTGAAGAATCGGGAAATCGAAAATTCAAAAAGTAAATTGATTGAAAATTCGGATATCGAAAAGTCAAGAAATCAAAAAATCGAAGAGAAAAAAAGTGGAAAAGTGGAAAAATTGAAAAATCGAGAGATAGAAAACAGAAAAATCGAAAAACCGAAAAATCAAAAAACTAAACATCCAAAATTCCAAAAATTTAAAATTCGTATATCGAAAAGTTGAAAACCTGGGAAATCAAAAAATCGAAATATAAAACAATTGCAAAATTAAAAAAATTAATGAAAAAACTGAAACGTCGAAAGATAAAAAACCTGAAAGAATGGAAAAATTGGAACATCGTAAATTCGATAAATCAAATATTCGAGAAAAATTAAAAAATCGAATATAATCCAAAATCGAAAAACCGAGAATCAAAATTCAAATCGAAGAGTGAAAAATCGGAAAATCGAACGCTCGAAAATCTGAAATATCGCAAAATAGAAAACTCGAAAAGTCGAAAATTCAAAATACCGAAAATTGAAAATTCGAGAAAGCGAAAAAGCGAAAGATGGAAAAATCGAAAAATCTTCAGGAAAATCGGCAGGTCAGAAAATTGAAAAATCGGGGAATTGAAAAATCGATGAGTAAAAATGTAAAATTGAGAAATAAAAAATTCGAATATCGAAAAATGGAAAGTAGAACAATTGAACCCTAAAAATGAAGAATGGAAAAATTGAAAATTCGAAAAATCAAAATCGAAAGTCGAAGAATTGAAAATTCGAAAAGAAAAAAAATTGGAAACTCGAACATCGAATAATCGAAAAGTAAAAAAATTGAAAATTCGAATATCGAAACATATAAAAGTCGGAAATTCGAAAAAAACCTCGAAAAAACGAAAAATCAAAAAATAGGAAATCAAAAAATCGAAAAATCCGAAAAATTGAAAATCAAAAAAACGGAAAACTGAAAAATCGAAAACTCAAAAAATCTGGAAATCGAAAATCGTAAAAATTAAAACATCGCAAATTCGACAAATCAAAAAATCCAATAATCGAAAAACCGAGAAATCGACAATTAAAAAAATCGAATGAAAAATCTCAAAATCGAAAATTCCAACATTTAAAATATCGAAAAGTCAAAAATTCGATAAACGAAAATTCGAAAAATCGAAAAAATCGAAAATCACAAAACGGAAAATTCGAAACTGAAAAATCGAAAAATTGAAAAATATAAAAATGGAAAATCCAGAAATTGAAAATTCCGAAAATCGCAAACCAAAAAATTATAAATTCAAAAACTCGATAAATAAAAAAATCGAATAATGGAAAATACACAATACCTAAAAATCAAAAGTCTACGAATCGTATATTCGAAAAATCGAAAATCGAAAAATCGGAAAGTAAAAACACCATAAAATCGAGATATAAAAACAAATGAAAATTCGAATATCGAAAAATGGAAAGTAAAACAATTGAACTCTAAACATGAAGAATGGAAAAAATTGGACATTCCAAAAATGAAAATCGAAAGACGAAGAATTGAAAAATCGGAAAATCGAAAAATTTAAAGATCGAGAACTCGATAAATCGAAAATAAAAAAAAATTGAAATTCGAATATCGAAACCTAGACATAGAAATCGAAAAATCAAAAACTCGAAAAACCAAAAAAACGGAAAACTGAAAGATCGAAAATTCGAAAAATCGATAAATCGAAAATCGTAAAAATCGAAACTTCGAAAACTCGAAAAATTAAATCGAATAATCGAAAAACCCAGAAATCAAAAATTAAAAATAATGGAAGAATTAAAATTCAGAAAATCGAAACGTCGAAAACCCAGTATATCGCAAAATAGAAAAATCGAAAAGTCGAAAATTCAATAAATCGGATAATCGAAAAATAAAAAATTCTTCCGATAAGTCGAAAATAAGCTCAAAATGACGCAAAAAACACAAATGAAAACCACCGGCGTAAATAATGAAAACCTCTGAAAAACCGAAAATTCGAAAAATCCAAAATCGGAAAGTTGAAAAATGAAAAAATCGAAAAGCCAGAAATTGAGAATGGAAAAATCGGAAAATTAAAAATTCGTGAAGTCTAAAATTCGAAAAATCATAATATAGAAAAATTCAAAATTCCAAAAATTGAAGAAAAAAATAAAAATTTTTCGGAAAATCGAGAATCGAAAAATTGAAGAATCGGGAAATCGAAAATTCAGAAAGTAAAACGATTGAAAATTCGGATATCGAACAGTCAAGAAATCAAAAAATCGAAAATTTGAGAAATCGAGGAGAAAAGAAGTGGGAAAGTGGAAAAATTGAAAAATCGAGAGATAGAAAATAGAAACATCGCAAAACCGAAAAATAAAAAAATCGGAACATCCAAAATTCCAAAAATTGAAAATAGAGAAATGAATAATCTTCCAGAAAGTCGAAGAATCGAAAAATTGAAAAATCGGGAAATCAAAAAATCGAAATATAAAACAACTGCAAAATTTAAAAAAATTAATGAAAAAAACTGAAACGTCTAAAGATAAGAAACTGAAAGAATGGAAAAATTGGAACATCGTAAATTCGATAAATCAAATATTCGAGAAAAATTCAAAAATCGAATAAGCGAAAATCCGAGAAATCAAAATTCAAATCGAACAATGAAAAATCGGAAAATCGAACGGTCGAAAATCTGAAATATCGCAAAATAGAAAACTCGAAAAGTCGAAAATTCAGAATACCGAAAAATAAAAATTCGCTGAATCGTATATCCGAAAAATCGAAAATCGAAAAATCAAAAAATCTAAAATTCGAGAAAGCGAAAAATCGAAAAATGGAAAAATCTTCAGGGAATACGAAAAGTCGGAAAATTAAAAAATCGGGGAACTGTTAAATCGAGAAATAAAAAGATTGAAAATGTCGAAATATCAGAGAATAAGAAAAGTCGAAAATTCAAAATACCAAAAAATGAAAATTCGATGAATCGTGTATGAATTCGAAAAATCGAAAATCGAAAAATCAAAGAAACTAAAATTCGAAAAATCGAAAGATTGAAAAACCGGAAAATCTGCCGGAAAGTCGAAAAGTCGGAAAATTGAAAAATCGGGAGTTGAAAAATCGAAAAGTAAGAAAATTCAAAATTCGAATATCGAAAAATGAAAAGTGAAACTGAATTCTAAAAATGGAGGATGGAAAAACTGAAAATTTGAAAAATCAAACTCGAAGAACTGAAAAATCGGAAAGTCGAAAAATCGAAAATCAAAAAAGCAGAAAACTGAAAAACCAAAAATTCTAAGAAACAAATATTCGAAAAAACGAAATATCGAAAATCAAAAAATCGAAATCGAAAAGCTGAAAATAAAAAAATCGGAAACACGAAAAATCAAAAAGCGAAAAAAATTAAGTCTAAAAATAAAGAACAGAACAACTAAAAAATCGAAAATTTAAAAAATCAAAATTCGAAGCATGGAAAGTCAATAAATGGAAAAGTAAAAACATTGAAGATTCGAATATTGGAAAATCAAAAAATCGAAAATTTGAGAAATCGAACAGAAAAGAAGAGGGAAAGTGGAAAAATTGAAAAGTCGAGAGACAGAAAACAGAAAAATCGAAAAACCGAAAAATCAAAAAATCTAAACATCCAATATTCCAAAAATTGAAAATAGAAAAATCTAAAAATGAAAAATCTTCCAGAAAGTCGAAGAATTGAAAGATTGAAAATTTGTAGATCGAAAACTTGAAAACCCGGGAAATCAAAAAATCGAAATATAATCCAAAATCGAAAAACCGAGAATCAAAATTCAAATCGAAGAATGAAAAATCAGAAAATCGAACGGTCGAAAATCTGAAGTA